TGGCGCGGAGTGTCATCCAACTCGATTTGCAGGTCCTGCCGGGCAGCGTGGGGTCAGTGGGGACAGGCGGGAGCTGGAGCTGGCAGCGGGGCCAGCACCGAGCCCATCGCCCGTCCAACCTTGATCTGGGCCTGGAGCTGGCGGCCCAGTTTCTGGAACTCGGCGGCCTGGCGGTTGGCGTGGCTCAGCTGGATCTCCATCTCGTTCAGGTCTCCCTCCATCTTCTTCCTCAGCCGGACAGCCTCGTTCTTGGCCCGGGCTTCCGCATCCAGCGTGGCCTGCATGGAGTCCATGGCGCGCTGGTGGTTGCGCCTGCGGGAGGGATGATGCATCAGCCCAGTCCCCCCTGGGGACAGCCAGTCTGGGGCATCCCTGTCAGGGCCACAGTACCAGCTCTGCCCCTGCCACAATGGCCCAGCCTCTCCCCTCTCCACACACACCTCAGGTTCTCAAACTCCTCGTCCTTCTCCGCCAGCTTCCTGTCTATATCAGCCTTGATCTGGTTCAGCTCCAGCTGGATGCGCAGAGTCTTGCTCTCCTCATGTTCCAGGGCACCCTAGAGACAGCAGCAGCCATGAGAAGGTGGCCCCCAGGGAGAGATCTCCTCAGCACCCCCCCCCAGCTTGGCCTTGCCCCCCAGCCCAGAGCTACGGGGTGCAGGGCAGGTGGAGCCACCCCAGTGCCTTGCTGTGGTTGCACACCCCCCATGAGGGGGGCGCCCAGGGGTGCCAGCCCAGCTCAGCACTATCACCCCGCCAGCGTGGTGTGGGTTGCTGCTCCAGCAGCCCCCAAAAAAACCAGTGGCTCCTGAGGGCAGTGGGCACACAGTGGGAAACAAGGACCCACCTCAGCCTCCTCCAGAGCTGCCTGGATATCACTCTTCTCACTCTCCAGGGCTTTCTTCAGCTTCTCCAGCTCATGGATGGTTTTGCCACTCAGACTGATCTGGTCGGTCAGATCAGCGATTTCCTCTGGCAGGGACAGAAGGTGTTTGGTCAGGAATGAGTTTGTGGGGACAGCCCTGTGCAGGTGATTTCCCCATCCCCCTGCCAAGGCTCAGCTGATGTCCCCCCAGCCCCTTGGAGAGCAGCTGAGGTTGTGCTTGGGGACATTTCTGGGCCCTGCTGTGCTCCCCGGCAGTCTGGGTGAAGGAGAGGGCACGGGAGAGGCATTAAGGACCCACAGAGACCTCCTTGTCCAAGAGGAACACCCCCAAGCCAGTGTCATGCCACAGCCATGGCAAAACATGCACCATTTCCAAACAGGAGCCAAGTGACACTGTCTGTCTGCCCAGAGTGGCCCCAGAAGCCAGGACACATGCTGGCTTCCTCACTGGGCTGCTGCAACCCTTCGAGGAGGAAATGGGCCAGGCTTGGCTGAGCAGCACGGTTTGCCCCCTGCCTACACGGGACCCCGGTCGCACCACATGGCTGAGGACAAGGGAGCCACAGGCTGCCCGTGAGAGAGTCCAAGGGGAGAGCTTGAGCCCAGTCCTACCCTGCAAGTTCTTATTCTCCCTCTTGAGGGTCTCCAGGTTGTCCAGGGACTCCTCATAGGCATTCTTGAGCTTGAAGAGCTCTGTGCTCAGGCTGCGTGACTCCTTCTGCGATGCCTCCAGCTCCGCCTGCGTCTCTTCATACTTCTGCTTCCACTCGGCCAGGATCCGGTCAAAGTTGCGCTGCTTCTTGTCCAGGGCAGCGCAGGCCGAGTTGGCACGCTCCAGGTCCACTGAGAGGTCCTCGATCTCTGTCTGCAGCCGGTGCTTGGTCTTTTCCAGCGAGGAGCACTTGGCGTGGGCAGCCTCCACTGCCTCCTCCGCCTCCTGCAGCCGGATGGCCAGCTTCTTCCTGCCGATGGCAGCAAGGGATGAGCGCTCCCAGCCCAAGTGTCGTCCCATCCCATTGCTCCGAGGAGGGGAGGCCACCGCCTGCCCAAACAGCCTCAAGTTTGGGCAGGAGGGTGCAGTCTCACCCTGGGGTCTGGGAAAGCCCCATCTTTGAACAGAAGAAGCCTGTCACCTGCAAGGAACAGCCTCCTGCTATGAGACTCACTTGGCTTCCTCCAGCTCCTCCGTCCTCTGGATGGCATCTGTCTCATATTTGGTTCTCCACTGGGCTACTTCCGCGTTGGCTTTGGACAAGTTCCTCTGGAGCTCGCTCTTGGCTTCCACCTCCTCCTCATACTGCTCCCGCAGCAGGTCACAGTCGTGCCGGGAGGCTTGCAGGGCATGGGCCAGGGCATTCTTGCTCTGAGGAAGAGAGAGATCGTGAGAGGAGCAGCTGGCCCCAGGCTCCAGGACACCGGCCACAGCACCGGGGCTGGGGGCAGCGGAAGGGAACTTTGTTTTTCCCAGGCTAAGAGCTGCCCTTGGGACTCCTGTGGGCAGGGTATGTCCCACCTCCCCAGTCCAAGAATCTGGGCCACTGCCACAGTGGGACACATGTCCCAGTCCCCGAGACGTGTGTCACTCCGAGATCAGCCATGCCCTAGAAGGCTCACCTTGGTCTCTTCCTCCAGCTGCCTCTTGAGCTCCTCGATGTTCTGTGTGAACGAGGTCTTGCCGCGGCTCAGCTGGTTGATGAAGGACTCCTTCTCCTCCAGCAGCCGACTAAGCTCCCCTGGGTTCAGACAGAGCCAAAACAGCTACTTTGGGGCCTGAGGGCTGCAATCTGCATTAGCCCGCACCCCCCCAGAGCCTGTGGCCTTCAGCTGCATGGAGACCTCCAGCAGCCCCAGCCGTATCCCCACCCAGGCAGGCTGGGGCCCATGGGCAGAGCTGCACACCAGCAGCTAAAGGCAGGGAAGGCCCGCTAGGAACCCCTCCTTCTGACGCCTGAGATCACAGCACATCTCCCAGCACAACTGGCATCACCACAGAGGTCCTCTTCCTGGCCAAGCTATACAGCACCTCTGCAAGGCCTGAGCGGAGGCACAACCCAAACATCCCACTCCCCTCCATGCCAGACAAAGCTCCTGCTATTTTTTATTGGCCATGGGAGAATCAGGCCTGTCCGCCCGGCTGAACCACAGCTCCCCGACTCAGATGCCCCAGTGCAAGACCAGCCCCAGGCCATCCCTCGTCCCTGGCTGCCGCCCCCACCTACCGTTCTCAGTCTGCAGCCTGCCCCGCTGCGTGCTCACGTCGGTCAGTTGTCGCTGCAGCTCGTCCACTTTGGACTTGGCCTCGCTCAGCTGGTCCTCGTAGGTGCGACACAGCTTCTCAGCGTTGGCCTGCAGGCACCAAGCAAAGCCTCCGTCAGACCCACCCCTGCCTGGGCAGTACCGTTCTCCCAGGAGGAGCTGCTCAGCACCTGCAGCACTCTGGGACCTCGCTGCCCTGCTCCGCTGACCCCATGTGCACACAAGGCAGAGAGCAGGACCCTGCCAGAACTCTCGTGTCCCTGCTAAGCTAACAGCGGCTCTCTGCAGTCAGTCTCCCAGGAAATGCCTTGCTAGGTCTTCCCGACTTGACTAGGACAAGCAAAGCCTCCTGCAAGCACTGCCATAGTGACACAGGGACGAGGTACACCTGGTGAAAAAGTGGGACTTTGCCATGGCAAAGAGCTACCCAGGACAACATCCCATGGACGCGGCTGTGCTGAACACACGGCAAACAGTTGCACTGATTTTCACAGAAGAGCTGACCCTGCCCTGTTCAGAACCAGTGCCCACCTTGTTCTTGGTGAGATATTCGATGTTGGACGATAGGTCATCCACCTCCATCTTCATCTCGCTCTTCTCCTTCTCCAGCTTCTGCTTGACACGCTGCAGGTTGTCAATCTGCTCGCTCAGCTCCGCCACGCTGTCTGCGTGCTTCTTCCGCAGGGCAGCCGCCGTGGACTCGTGCTGCAGGGTTGCCTCCTCCAGGTCCCGCCGCAGCTTCAGGAACTCTGCTTCCCGCTTCTTGTTCATCTCCAGCTGCGTGGCCGTTGCCCCACCGGCCTCCTCCAGCCGCTCGCTCAGCTCCTCCAGCTCCCGTGACACTTCTGCCCGCTGCTTCTCCACCTTGGCTCTGGCAGCACGTTCAGCCTCCAGCTCCTCCTCCAGCTCCTCGATGCGGGCCTGGAAGAGACAGAATAAGGCAGTAACCTGGTGAAGCTCCGGCGTCTTCGCTCCCCGCAATGGAGCAAAGTGTCTCCTCTGACCCTGGGGTGAAACAGCCTGGAGCAAATACTGGGGCTGTTTTGGGATTCTCTGAGGGAAGCGTGCCTGGTGCTCCTTGGTAGCCCGTTTTGCAGAGCTCCTGCCCTCCTCTGTACCCTGCCATCAGGATCCAGGCTGATAATAGCCTCCCTTCAGTGGGAAGCCTCCATACAAACGGTCTGAACCTGGGGTCCTGTCTTTGCTGGGAAGAAGCCAAACATACTCGATTTGGATCTTCAGAGTCTGGGCACCAGATTTAAGGTTTTAGACTAAGCAGAGAATTGCATCCTAGAAGCTGTTCCTCATGCTGGTGCTAGCATTCACCTCAATAGTTCATCCTTTAATTTTCAGTCCATCACATTTTGGCAGAGGGCTTTGCTTTTGCTAACAACGCCCTTTTCATCACTCCTGCCAAGGAGATGCCCCTGTGCTCAGAGAGGGATCCCCCAGCACGTTACATCTGATGGAAATTTAGGACTCCTGGGCTGTGAGAACAGTTCTTCCTACCATACCTGGAGCTCCTTGATCTTCTTCTGCAGCTGGGCCTCAGTCACTTGCCCATCTTCAATCCTTGAATTCAGCTGGCTGACTTCAAAGTCTTTCCTGTGTAGAAAGAAGGCAGAGCCTCTGGTCAGACAAACACTGTCCTGCCAAGTCCCCCTGGCTCCTGAAGCCTAAGGAGGATTGTTCCCTGCACTCTAACACCCAGGTCCAGAGGACAAACCAACCCACCCAGGAAAGGGACTGCAGGGGTAAGAAGCAGCGGATGGACTGCTCTGAGGGAGGGCTGGAGTGGCCAAACCAGCAGACAACCTGGCTCTGAGGTTCTCCCTATGAGGTCCCTAGGTGTTGTTCTCCACTTCCCCAATAAGAATGGGACACGAGTGATGAAAACTGTACTTATAGCTGAGGCCCCAACTCTGTGTTAGGTTCCTGCCAGGCAAGTCTCTCCTCTCCAACTCCATGTACAGAGGAAGGTCTACAGCACCCTGATCTACTGGTCTGTGCAGCTGGCGAGCTCCTCAGCATCTCTGCACAGTGCCCAGGAAAACCAAGCCCTCATTTTGCCTGGACTGATCACACCAGCAGCGCTCAAAGCCACATCCCAGCAGCCCCTGCAGAGGCCACACGTCCACTTGATTTAGAGGTGGGCGCTGGCCTGGCAGAGTAAGCACACAACCCAGATACATATCACACACTCACTTTTTGAGTTTCTCCTCCAGCTGCTGTTTGTCATTCTCCAGATCCATTACAGACTCTTGTGTCAACTTCAGGTCTCCTTCAAGCTTCCTCTTTGCTCTTTCCAGGTCCATGCGGACTTTCTTTTCTTGTTCAAGAGAGCTTTCCAGCTGGAGGATGAAGGGAGACAGGCTAGGGAGGGAAGGGACCCTCTGTAGCCCCAACCTTCCCGTGTTCATTGCTGTGGGAACTTCACCCA